TGTATAATTTAGTTTTTCAGACCTGATCTCCCCAGCCCCGCAAAGAAAAATAAGCAATTGACAAAGTATTTCTGAATGCTTACAAGAAAATGCAACCCTCTGTTCTTTAGGGTTAATGACTCTACTGCAAGAGTTTTATAGCATTATTCAAGCCTTTAAAGTTAGCAGTTAAATGCTGATTTAATCTTCAGAAGGTCACAGTGCCTTTTGGAAGACATACATTTTAAACTTGTTTGGCTGGCTATTCCTTGTTCATTCCTGGAAACGCATGTGTGACTCACTATTTTACAGGAGACACTACATGGTACTTACAGAAAATATTTTCTATTTTCAGGTCTCCTCTTAAAAATAATTTCTAGGGGCGCCTGGGTGGCTCAGGCAGTTAAGCGTCCGACTTCAGCTCAGGTCATGATCTCACAGTCTGTGAGTTCGAGACCCGCATCAGGCTCTGTGCTGACAGCTCAGAGCCTGGAGCCTGCTTTGGATTCTGTGTCTCCTTCTCAATCTGCCCCTCCCCTGCTCATGCTCTGTCTCTCTCTGTCTCAAAAATAAATAAAAACATTAAAAAAAAAATTTCTAAATTATGTATGCTAAACTAGCTTCTATTTTCTAAAGCCTCTGGGACTGCTGATTCTGAAGTAACCAATTTTATTAGAAAATTTTGGAACATTCTCACAACAAATACTGAAGTCTGGAATCCTATTTACTGTGACAAAGTTAACATTATTTCTCACTGCCCTGGGGTAGTCATTCCCTGGACATGAGTCCCTGAGGCTGCAGCCAAGTGCACTCTGCAAGGCCACCAAAGGCCCATGGGATGTGGCCATTATTTGCCATTGAAAACCTTGCCATTTCAGTTTTTATCTGAATGATACCACAGATTTACCTTTTTATGTATATGTACATAGATTTTAGTAGGCCCTCAGGAATTTTACATACCTATCACCAGGATGTGATATTTTGCATTTAATGAAATCTTTGTTTAAAATGCTGATTCATACCAATCAGAAATATACACATAAGCCCTATTTCCGACAGTACCATTTATATAGAAGTTCTGAATGGAAGGTTCTGGATAAGTCCTACATTATTAATTCTTTCCTGAGTATTAGTGTATATGTGTTTGTCAGACTCTGAGTTCCCTGAGGGCAGAACCCATGTCTTACACATCCTTGTATCTTTGCACACTAAGCACTTAGCAAAGTACTTGGCACCAGTAAGGACTGAAAGAATGTGCAGTAAATAAGAAATAAATAGCACAACAAACCTTTTAGCACAACCATTGATTAGAAATGTGTTTAAAATTAGGTTAGCACATAGCTGCATCAGTGACAACTGCCATCACTTAAAATCATGAGTTCAGTTGCTCCCAGTGCCTTTCCTCTCAAAGCTGTACAGTATACTGGGGAGAACTTCCCCTGATGGTGTCAAGACATACACCGTAACTATGCTCTGTCTCTGTTGCATCTTTAGACAAGAAACTTTCAGCAAACATAAGAATACAGAGTGTAGTTTTTAAAATTTCACTGGAACCAACACTTTTGGAAATTTTTCCCCTGCTACATTTGCAGAATCCAGCTAAAATACAAGATAACTGTATTTCTATATTTCTATAAAAATACAAATGATTTGTATTAAAGCTTACCTGACAATCAGGAGATGGCTTTTGGAAACCAGGTACATTACACCAACACAACTCTCTGAACATTATAACTTAAAACACCTTATTACTATAGCCCATGTGAATCTTTCCTGCTACCTTTTCTGTTCAATTAGAATAATCCTTAGAAATTTATAATCCTAATAAACCTTTAGTTATGAGTTTCCTAGGTATCATCAGAACTGTGAGGATAATTGGTTGATCCATACCCTTCAGAATCCACAAGGCATTTTTGGCTGATTTATTCAGCTCCTGATATTTATGAGTTTAGAAATCATACTCAACTGCTCCCATAGATATTTCCTCATCTTTCTGAATCCAGAAAATGCCTTCAATGACCACTCAATTTACTGAGCACCCTCTTCCACTAAGAGAAAGGGATGAGATGGATTGTGAAAGACACAATTTACATTTTTTTATGATATAAAAGCTGCAGGCCAACTGCGGTGATAAAAATCTAGGTAGTCAATGGTTCTCAGCATTTTCACTCCTTAACAGCATACTGCTATAGTTTGTTTAATGTTCCAGGCTACATTTATTTAGAGGAAAATTCAACCTTAGAGAACATGTTCAGGCACAAAAATAAATATGCTTAAAAGTTAACCTGCCAAGACCTAAATTCTGACCTTCTAAAGACATTACTGAGGCAAGAAAAATCCTATAATTAGTTACTAGGAACAGCAATAGCCATGCCGTGCTTAGCATCAGGGAAACGAATTACTCTTAACACTAAATGTTCACTTTAGAAATGATGTTTTAACAGTACTTTAGTTATGTTTCAAATATGCATACATTTGACACTACCATGATAGTTCATGTCTATTTCCAATCACATATGATGTAAAAAGACTATAAATTTCTTAGATTCGCCAAATCCTTTCTAGGAAAACTTTCAAAGTTTCTGAAACACTGTATTAAAATATAACTAAAATTTCTCATTACGAAAAACTATCTTTTGTGGGAAATCTAAATTTAAACCTTCTTAAAGCGTTCTTAAAAGTTCTAAATATTTTCCACATAGGAAAACTGTAAGCATACTTCTTCAGAGCTTTTAAAGCAATCAGCACAGGCAATGTTAAATTATCATGGCTCTCGAGAATAACAGAGGAGCACTGTACATAAGACCCTCACATTTGTGGCTCTGCATACTCCCTGTAGGCTGTGCCAACCCACTCTCTCCCCTGTAATGACTCTTTGTTTTTACTAAGTCCCAAAAGGCTGGTGAGAGCTCTGCAAAGAGAAGGGGGGGGAAGGGTGGATGGAATGCAGCTGCAGGCTCAGAAACAATGCTGAGTCCATATATTTTGTTCCCAGTTAGAATAATAAAAAGGGGGCCACGGGTGGAGGTGGAGGGGTAGAGGAGACAGAAAGCAAAGTAAGCAAGGTAGGGCCAAGTATTCCATTGCTCTCAGTCTACACCCTCCTGCACCAACACCCGACCCAATCCAATAGCCATTCATTTGGATTTAAAAAGCTTATTTGTTAAAATTCAAACACCATTAAGATTTAAACCTATCAGTCATTTACATCTAAGTTATCTTTATCAGTGAACTACACCCAGGCAAGGAATGGAGTAAGGAGAGAGAATGGAGCTAGCAAAGATACACTGTGGAAGCCTAGACACATGAGACAGGAAAGCTTGGGGGAGGCAGGTAGGAGAATTCAGAAAAGGATGTCCAAGTTCTCAAATAAAAACAGCCACTTTTGCAATGGTGCCTGGGGCCTTTTTGGGGGCAACTGGGATGCCAGAAAAAAAAAATTCTTTCGAAGACTGCTAAAAGCTGCATGTGCCTGAATCAAGAGTTTGGAAGGCTGCACATGTTGGTTCCTCATTATTCAGTCTAACTTGATGCCTCCCTTCTAAGAAAATGTTCTTGTCTTGCACTTCCCTGGCCTTCATGTCCTGATTGGGAAAACAAGGAATTAAGGGAAGAGGCTGATCCCAAACAAGGTAACAGCTGCTAGTGAGGGAAGAGCAGCTCAAACGTTACTCTCTTCTCCCAGGTCTTGCCCTCTCATCTCAGATAACCTTTTATCTGAAAATACTTGGATCCCTCCAGGGCTCACAGACTCAGGCCTGCCTCTGGAACACCCTTTCAGATATTAGCGATACCATTAAATTTTGTGAGAAAACTTAAGAAGCCTTAAGTAAACAACCAAAACCAATACCTCAAAAATAGAGTCAGCAGGTGCTAAAGACCACCTATGAAGCTATAAAACAAAATTCAGAAGAATGCTAATAATAATTAGGATCCTATTCATGAACACTCAGTTACTAGGCAGAGAAAGAAAAACAAAACTTCATTGTAAAGCTATCATGTAGAAGCAAAGCTCTGACGTCCACATACAAACACCTCCTTGAAGTTAGCATTACTTAGAAGTACTCTTAGCTGGTATTGAATGATATAATTAATCTCTTGACTCTTGAAATGTTTTCAAGTTATAAAGTTTAGAAAGACTGTATTTACATTGAATTTTTGCATTTTGTGACAAACAAAAATTCACAAATGTAGATCTACAATCTATTTATAAATGTAGGAATACGATCTCTCTCCCTCAGCTTGCACTTTTTTTCTATAGCTCTAAAATCCATTTACAGATATTCCAAATCTCCATACTATAGTCAATATATAGACACAAATTCAGAAACACATATTAATTTAAGGGAATGGATGATTGAGTCTTTATTATTAAACATTAATAGTAATAATTTTAAAATAATACTGAACACTCCTGTAAAGTTTATCATCCAACATAAACATAAAATTCATAGATATATTTTATTAGGAGTTTATTATGCTTTTAAATGCAACAACAACAACAAAAAAGACACAGTACTTTGCTTATTCTGTGTACTGGAAAAACTCAAATTTCTTTGTACATTTTGTTTCTTAGTATGTATAATCCAAGAAATTAAGTCTACAGATAGCAAAAATTCACTAATAATAACAATCATGTAATCAGAACTTGCCTGAAATTAATTCCTCTTATGTTTGGTCAATTGTGGTAAAAGAAACAAACAAACAAACAAACAAAACGTTTCTCATAATACTGACTCATGTGTTATACTTCGAAACAAGGTAAAAAAAAATCCTATTATTCATGATTTAGGGGGGAAAATCTACTCTCAATAAGTCTCTGAATTATTTTTTAAATAAATTAAGAAAATATAATTCAAGTGTATTAAAGGTGTCAGAAATTTACATTTAGTCATAAAGTTCACAAAATATGAGTGATCTTATATTAAGAGGCACAAATGAAAACAAATTTTAAGAGTTTCAATATCATAGTATGTGAGAAGAATATTAGATTTTCTTGCTACATCAGTAAGAGTACTCACCCCTTGGAGCCCTTGGAACTGAATTGAAGGTCGAAAAGGAATTAAATTCTATTAAAAGAAACATAAGAAAAAAACAGGTCAACCTTGGTTATTGTGTCACAGAACTAAATGTTTAAACTTTAAATCTGTGTATCTGGTCAGTGCTATAGTCTGTGAAAGTATCTTTTCATTATATACTTAGTTTACATATCATCATATTAAAATGCCTTAATGAACAATACCACACACACTGTTGACATTTCTCTGAATCACACAACCACAGGTATATTTTGGCAGTGTAGTCAGGTTTTTTTAAATGACTGACACAATTTGGCAAAAATGATGGCTACACTAACTCAATGTTACATTAAAAAAACGTATCTTGCTTAGTTTCTAAATATGTTTCTAAAAGGGGTAATGAGAGGGAAGAGCTAATTGGAAGAACTTTATAAAACTCTAACAGGATGCTATAAATGTAAAATTGAAGTATTTGATAATGAACTGTGGTTCCCAGGTTCTCACAATTTACCAGAGGTTAGTTTCTACTTGAGGGTCAAACAGATGACCAGTTTTCTCACAAGGTTTTCACCAGGAGAATATAATTTCTAGAACAATTTTTTTTATGAGCTTTGTCCTCCTCATAACTTTAATATTTTATCATAGAGTTGTGTATTTAGAAGAAATGCGGTAATTGTGAATATCTGCTGTAGTCTCAGGCACGATTTCCTGTATCCAAAGTCACCAGTATGTTTCCCTACCAGAATGCTTTTCTGCACTCATGTGAGGCTAGTTTTAATTTCCTCCTTTACTCTTTGCAACCCAGAAGCTGTCTTCAGCTCACCACTGGAATTTGAAATTCTCTATCAATGTCATCAGTTCTTCTTGGTCAAACAAATGCTAACTTCTCTCAATTTTCAAATCGCTCACTTCTCTTTTGGAGATCACAACTTCCTTACACTTAGAGACACCAGTCCTCCTGGTTCTTTTATCATCTTTCATTTCAAAAGCAGTACTCTTTGCTTTCCGCTTTCTGGATCCACTCTCCCTCCTGGAGGCTCACCTCACCTGTTTGGTGATGACTTTGAATCTCTATTCCTCAATTCTCTTCTCTCCACAGCCTAGTACTTATCACTGCCCAGGAACATTTTGCATTAGAAACTCTTAATAACAGCAACACTGGCAAATTAACTTCCCTTCCCCAGCCCTCCCTCAACCAAAATGGCACCGGTTTCCTACTTTTCTGGCAAGGGTACTTCTATCTTTTTGGTTCTCTGGGTTCGTAACGTTAAATTTAATTTCTAGTCTCTTTTCCCTCACCCCAACCATATTCTATTAGGCCATTATACACTGCTAGAATTACAGAATTCTGAATCATAGATAATACAGTCAAGGCGTATCCCCCACCAGCCCTGCATCCCATTAATAACTAAATTGGCACCAGAACCCAGGACTCAATCCTATTTTGCCAGGCTCTTTTTCTTCTACTACCTTGTGCTCCACACACATCTGCTATGGGAGATTCAAGAGTATGAGGGCCCATTCCTTCATGCCAGAGTTCACAATTTAGTTGGGGAACATGGGAGAGAATGATTAAATACTAGGTTAAGTACTACTAAAAATTCTCAAAAAAGGAGAAAAGAATATGGGTTAGAAGAAATACTAGAAAAGACAAAGAGCTTATGGAAAAGATGAATCTTAGTAGCAATTTTGAAAAAAAACAAATTCAAGGAAAGGGAGTGTCCTCAACAAAAAAGCAAGGACACAGGAATGGATATTGTGTGAGCAAAGGGCAGGTCTCTGTGTGTATACAGAGTTCTTTCACACTTGAAATACAATACAAAGGATGAGAATTGGACCTGCCTAATCTTTCCTTGACCTCAAAATTTGTCTTCAGTTTTAGCTTCTATACACTACAGAATAAATAGGACAGTAATTTAAATTTCAGATCTCAGGATTTCAAAAGGTTTATCACCCTGTGAAATAACCCTGCCCTAATCTCCTCTATTACTCCCTCAGGGATGGTCTTTAAGTCTTGCCTTTGACAAGATAAACAATTGGAGGGGCTTCTAATTTTTGGAATAACAAAGTGAGTTGCTGAAAGAAGTGTTTCAGGGAAAGCAGCTCTTTCCGTCATGTGTAAGAAAGAGGGAGAGAGATGGATTGAGGCTAGGGAAAAAGATTAGACATCAGTTCCTGGGGATGCTTTATTTAGAAATACTCTGGTGATAAAGGCCTAAATTAGTATGACTTCATCCACAGCAAACGAGATGGTGGAATGAGCAGACTTTCCCAAGGAAGAATGATAAAATGTGCTGAAAGCTTGAATATCAGGCACCAAAGGAAAATGAAGCAAAAGTGGCTTCAGGGCTCTGAATCTCTGGCCAGTCAGCCCCAAATTCCCTCATATTAGGCTCTTAGTCTCTGCTTTGAAAACCCCTGGACTGTTTCAGGTCTCTACCACTGAACACCTAGATAAAGGCCTTCCTTCAATTCCTTCCAAATGCTGCCCATCATTCAAAGAACTAGCAGAAGCTCTCTGGGATACCATCTCAGCATAGCACACAGGCTGCGGTGGGTTCCTTCTCAGTGGGCTCTATCAAAGCAAAGCAAACTCCTCCACTTGGAAAACAGCCTTTCCATCTACAGGACCAACCAGTTTCATCTTCCACTTCCTCTCAACTGTGCCTCAGCCACTTTTCTCTTTCTTTTTCTTTTTTAAGATTTTATTTTTAAGTAATCTCTATACCCAACATGGGGCTCAAACTTACAACCAGGAGAGCAAGAGTCACATGCTCCACTGGGCACGCCAGCCAGGCACCTCTTCCCCTCTATTGTTACCTCCTTCCTTTCCTTCCAGATGGCATACCTTCCCAAACACTGTTTTGTCAATCCATAGTAATAACGTATTTAACATTCAAGTTTCAGCTAGGCCTTCCTTTGGATAAATCAGGAATCAAAGACTCAAATGTATTTAAGGACCCAAGGCAGATAAATGTGGAAGAGACAATGTCATGCAACAAGGAGTGGCAAGTACCGGGAGAATAAATGCCCATCTCAGAAAGGATTCAAATTTTAAAATGTTAAACCTTTCCCATTCAAACCAAACACTGATGCCACCATTTTGCTAACTCTGAAATATGCCCACTTTGAGCTAACTCTCATAAGCTGTTGTTTTTCCAGATGCCTGTGCCTAGTAGGGTTCCAAAACATTGGGGGGTGTATTATTTTCATAGGCTGCTTTACTCCTGGTTGTTATGATACAGAGGAGTCTAACACATATTTAACTTATATGTATTTACATTATGCTCAACTAAAAAAAAAATCTATTGTAAAATCATTTTGGCCATCTTCCTTTTATACTACTTTATAGCAGTATACTACTATACAGATATATTTTACAGGTTATTATTCATGATTATATAGACAATACAATCACACTTTACATCCATTTGGGAACTTTCAAGAATAATTTTGACTTTAACCAGTTTTTGTTTCAGGACTTGAATTTAGAACCTAACCTCCTGACATACGTATAGCTGTATCTGTCTTGCATGATTCCTCAACAGAAATGATAACTTTCGTTTAGTTTTGTAATGCGTTGGGCAATTTTTATAACCATCGTCTCAAGTGAGCCTCCTAAAATCAGCCCTGGGTGGTAAGAAAATATCATTGTTACCCATTTCAGAGGGAGATAAATGAGTCTCTAACAGGTAAAGGGCATTACCCATGGACACCAACCTAGTGATTAGCAAAGCTGCACTTCAAAGCCAGTCCTCTGAATCCTAAATACAGAACATTTTCCTTTCCTTCTCTTGCCTCTGTTAACAGGTTACCTTTCAGTGCTGAACATCTAAAAATTCTTAAATGCTCATTCAGTTCTGGCATTTTGTTTCCAAGGAAAATGAATTTCATAAAATCATTAAAATTTCCAAACTTCAGTTTCTTTTTTTTTTTTTTAATGTTTATTTATTTTTGAGAGAGAGACAGAGCATGAGCAGGGGGAGGGGCAGAGAGAGAGGGAGACACAGAATCCGAAGCAGGCTCTGAGCTGTCAGCACAGAGCCCAACCATGAGGCTCAAACTCACAAACTGCGAGATCATGACCTGAGCCGAAGTCGGACGCTCAACTGACTGAGCCACTCAGGCACCCCCAAACTTCAGTTTCTGAATAAAAACTAACCGATAATATTTTTTTTTGCCATAAGGAACATGTATAATAAAGGAACATATATAAATACGTGTTATCATTTTTCATTTAAAAAGTAATAAAACCCTCATCTATGGGATAGTTACGGGTGCTTATCCAAACAGGACAAAATAAGGTCACAGTTACTGAAAAAATCATTTAAGATTATCCAACAACCCAGAGGAGAAAAATACATAAAAGAAAGGCCAATGCATTATTGATTTTAATCCTGATTTTAGACAAGAAGATGCTACTAAGTTACCAGATGTTACTAGCTCTTGAACACTTTGAAAATGCAACAAGAGGAGATAGTTAGAACTTTATACCACTTATTATGTATGCATCTGACCACTTGTGTTAATGGGATAGCTACCAGGAATAAATTCTAAAATTCAATACCATTATAAGTAAAAGTCTCATGCATGTTAGTTTTTCTAAGTGTTCTTTAGCCTAAGTTTAACTGCACAAACATGACCTCAATTCTGTTTTAAAAGATAAAGCAATTACAGGTGATAAGGCATGTTTTAAAATAAATGTTTAACTTACTAAGCACATTCCCATTACAAATGAGTTTCAATAAGGGCTTCAACTTTTGATTTTTAGCTTTTATTAGATATATACACCAAGTAGCTCATTTGAAAATCAAGTAACTCTAGAGTTTAATTGAATAGTGGTTGAGCTATAAGTAAGAAAGTGATCTGGTATCTTCACCCAGTCAAGAAACAACATAGACTGAAACTGGCTAGGGAAACTCCTTTAGACAAATGGTTCAACAATCTCATAAAGGTGGTGTTTTGTAGTCAAAAGGTTTTGTTAAACTCGTAGTTGTTTCACTGTTTTTACAGACCCTTGAATTAATCTTCGGTACTTCATAGGAAATGTA